GTATTGTAAAATAGTTTTTTTATATGTTGCACACCGGGTGAAAAATCAGTCGTGTAACATCGACGGTCGCTCCTGTACCACCGGCTAAAGTTGCACTTAACTGAAATTAGATCATCTTGCACGCATTAGTTAGCAATTTTATGCAGGTGTAACTTCAGTCAACCTAACAGCTAAGTTGTAACTTCAGTCGGATGTCATTGGTTACGACATAAATATAAAATTAAATTGCCATATAATCATACATTTCGTGATATTTACATGTCACTCCGTTTCTAGTATTAAAGTTAAAAGTCGCACTGACGATGAATTAAAGATCTCTATAATAAATATTCTAATACGTAAAATAATAAACTGATTGATATTAGCCAAATAATATAAAATTATTACGGCATTGGAATTAATAATGAATTTGTATTTTTTTGAAAATATTTGCTTTTATATTTATGATCATCATTTGATTCTTTCTCGCACTTGTCTTTATCCAAGAACTGTTTTTTTATTTCATCAAAGTCACCATAATTTTCAGAATTTTCTAAATATTTGATCCGTTCATCAGATTCATAATTAGTTAGAATATCATCACTGAAAAATTGGTTTGTCATTTCACGCAAATCATCAAACTTTTCAAATTTTTGAAACAATCAACAAATTTAGCAAAATTATCGTCACAACGTGAAAACTGTTTTTTTGATTTCTAAGTTATTAGTATATTCTATACATTTGATCCAATCATTAAGTTTATTATAAATATCATTAGCAACAGGTCTCTTTTGTGGATCTGAATCCATACATTGTCTCGCTAATTCAATATAACAATCAGGAGTCCAAAAAGAAAACCATGGTCGCAAACTTTCTTCACAAATTTTTTTCATAAGATTAATATTAAACTCATAATTGCAAAAAGCCTTATATCCCGTTGATATCTCTGTCATAACAACTCCTAAACTATAAATATCTGCTGCTGTAAAGTATTGTTCTCCCTTTAATATTTCTGGTGCAATGTAAGGTAAAATCCCATAAACTTCACCATCCTTTTGTTTTAAATATTGGATTGAAAGACCCAAGTCTGCGATGTACGCACTATGCAGATTATCTTGCAATATGTTACCGCTGTGCAA